CAGAATTGGTTTTCTCATTTTATGCCTTGGCTTTGTTGATAACAAATTGTAGGCAAGTTTTTGGATGCGACTCAATGTCAGGCATTTGCTCCGGAAGGGAGATGTTCGTCCAGTACAACTGTCGTCTTTGCCGTGGTGATACCCACTTCGAATCGGTGAGTCCAGGCACAACTCCCCTTAAGTGCTTTGTAATCTCAAATCTGTCTTCCCATTTCATCGAGGAAGCATTCTCGAGCAGAAACCATTTTGACCTCGCCTCATTCATTACTCTTATAAAAAATAATCTACTTTTCGGCCCGTGCAATCCATGTTTTCCCTTTATCGTTCCCCGATGCTCAGACCTTGCTAAATCCACATGCATCTCCCCCGGGTCCTTTCGTCCGACTCTCGTCAAGTCCTGCCAATTTTGCATTCATATCACCCTTTGTCATTTTTTGTTCCTTGCTTATTTTTAACTTTTTCATGCATGCTGCCTAGTTCATCTCTTGTGCATCTCTCTTTCAGACACCTTGTCAGACCTGTTTCCAAATACTCATCTGTTTCCCAGCCTGCCAGTCTTTCTCTCATATCCATACATAGTCTATCATATGAGTCTTTTCTTTTCCAGACGTCTTACTCGGCCCATTTTCAAGCTTATGCCAAATCAAGCACACAAGTCGCTTGCCAGGCCTTTTCTCAAGCTCATGCAACGTCAATTTCTCGCCCATTTCTCTTCTGGCCATCTTGTCAGGCTTTTTCTCAAGCCTGCGCAAAGTCAATTACTCATCCATTCTTCTCTTCTGGACATCTTGCCAGACCTTTTTCTCAAGCTCATGCAACGTTAATTACTCATTCATTCTTTTCTTCTTGGCATTTTGCCAGACCTTTTTCTCAAGCTCATGCAACGTTAATTACTAATTCATTCTTTTCTTCTAAACATCTTGCCAGACATTTTCTCAAGCCTGCGCAAAGTTGATTACTCATTCATTCTTACGCTTATGGTACCCTTCTCTTTTGCACGCTTTTTCTTTGGTAGATGGCACACCTTCCCCCTACTCAAAATGCGATGTCCCCATCGCACGACTGGTTCTCACTTGGAGGTATGCAGACCTTGGCCCACCAACGAGTAGGCGGATGCCGGCCCATCAGCCCTAAAAAGGAAGGGTGATCAGTCCTCCCCCTGCTGATAACTCACCTCATCCCCTACTCCGTCCGACCTTTTGCCGCTTACGAGACGGGCGTCATCACTGAGGTACCTCCTCATATCTGGAAGGCAGGTCCAGTCCAAGCCTCCCAGGACCCCGTCTTGCCGTAAGGGCTTCCTCGCAAATTGTTCCTCCCGAGTGGTGTTTTCTTGGATCCGGTCTCTTCCTTTCAAGAGAGTTGGGGTTCTCAATTAGTCCACGAGTGCAGTTACGAAGACCTCGCAATTAGTCCCGAGGCGGTTGTAATGCTCCGGCGGGGCAGTGTCACTCGCCCCGTGGTGGTTGTGACTTCCACCTGGTACCACGCCCAACTCCTCCCTTCTGGACAGTGCTGCTCAACTTAACGCGAGCCGCCGTGGTCCATTCCAAGCAGTCATGCCGCCCCTCAACGACATGGCGTGTGGTTGGGAAGAACAAAAGAGACTAGAAAAAAAGAATGGCTCTCTTGCCCATTTGGTTCCCTCACCCTTTGACGTTTAAGCGTTCAACACGAGGCGCAATTTGAACTTCCCGACTAGAGCTCGTTGCTGGGGTCAGTTCCGGACGTTTTGCACCGATCCAAGTGGTAGGTGCCTTGGTCTTTTAACCCTTATCCCCTTACAAGGGGAACAGGTCGCGCTGAGACTTTTTCCCTTACAGGGATAGAGGTCTTGGGGTCGCGGTGCGAGCACCAGTATCCCCCTCCTGCTGAGGCCAAAGACTAGAAAAAGAGAAAATCCATTTCAATGTTGTTTCCAAGTTCATTTCAAGTTGCCTAGGATCCCCTGCCTATGCAATGCAATATTCAATCCTCAATCATTCAATCAAATGTTACTTCCAAGGCTGATTCTCGTGGCTGGTCTGACAACCTCTTATCAACAAGGTCACCCTCACGACCGGTCTGGCGGTCATTCTCTCAATAGTCATTTCTCAAGACTGACCCTTCCGCCCACTCAATCCTCAATTTTCTCATTCCTCAACACCCAATTTTTGTGACCGTCCCAACGGTCTCTGCCCTTCTCGGCTTTAAGGTTCCGCCTTCTTTATCTTGTCCTTCTCTTTCGCATTTTCCTTCCGCCCCCTTGGCAATTTTCAGTGGCCGACCCACCGGCGTTTTCCATTTCCTCCATTTAACTCATTGGCTATTTCAACGACCGACCCACCGGCCTTTTCCACCTCTCTCATCCATCCTTTGGCTATTTTCAATGACCGACCCACCGACCTTTTCCATTTCTCTCATCCCATTGGTTATTTCAATGACCGTCCTACTG